AACACACACACACACACTAACACACACACACACTAACACACACACTAACACACACACACTAACACACACACACTAACACACACACACACTAACACACACACACGCACACTAACACACTAACACACTAACACACTAACACACTAACACACACACACTAACACACACACACAAACACACACACACAAACACACACACACACACACCACACACACACACACGCCACACACACACACCACACACACACACCACACACACACCACACACACACACACACAAATGCACAAATGCACACAAATGCACACAAATAACAGGATCCCCCTATACTTTCTCATATTTTGTGGGTTTTCGTCTTCCCCCCCACTTCCCATGTTTTCCCATATTTTCTGGGGGAATCGAAAATGAATTCTGTCTGTGTGTTTTCACCCCTCCGAAAAGCCTTTTACGGAGCCCCACGGAGCCTCGAGGACAACCCAAGGGCGGCTGCAAGACGGCCCGGGGAGCCCCCTGAGACGGCCCAGCACCACCCCACGGAGGCTCCACGACGGCTCCGAGATCCGCCGGGACGGCTCCGAGATGGCCCAACTATCTCCGACAGGCCCCTGCGAGGCCCTTCAGACGAGCCCCATGGGTGCCCGAGAGAGACCCAAGATGCCTCTGCCAAGCCCCAAAGGAAGCCCCCGAGAAGTCGCAAGGGAGTTCCCAAGAGGCAACGCAACAACCATGCTCGTTTCGGCTGTGCCACGCAACAAACACAACATCGTAGCGATGCTTTCCACACGGCCCCATCTGATATGATTCAGTCGACCCTGTCGATGGACAGCGGTGCAACCGTCCTGCTTCTATTCCAATGCTGCGCCGGCGTGATGGCGGGCTTGCCGCAAGCAGTCAAATATCTCCGCAATGCGTATGGTGGCCGGCTTTGTTTGCACGCTCAGCTCGTACGTCTGATCGTACGGCACGAAGATCTGAACTCCTGCGGGTATGGTCGCGTCGTCCCGGAACAACCCTTTGATTCCGTCCACGTTGACATCGAACTGCTCATCTCCTGCAAAGGTGATGGTCGTCTGACGGTATGCCTCCACGGCGCGGAGCATCGACTTCGCCGTCTTGCCGGCGCACGCGAAGCTGCTGTCGGCATCGTGCATCTCGGCCATGCCGTCCACGACCATGGTCACCCTCCGGGGGTCCTGCAGCTCGTCCTTGAAGGGGCCCAAGGACACAGAAATAAATACACACAAATGAAAGGAATCCCCATATTTTCCCATAATTTTCTCGGTTTTTGTCTTCCCCCCCACTTCCCATATTTTTGCATATTTTCCTGGGAGTCGACGATGCATTGTGCCTGTGTGTTTTTTTTCCCCTCCTGAGTCCTGCTGCTGGCACACCCAGCGGAGGGCGGACAGCGCGAACGCCTCCTGCTCCTGGGTGCCCAGGCGCGCCCCGAGCCGGCTCTCCGCCACCGCGGCGCACACCCACGCCGACCCCCCGAAGGCCGCGGCCTGCGCCCGGCGCAGGGCCCGCACCGGGTGCCCGGCGGCGGCGCGGAGCTCCGAGGCCGGCAGCGCCGCGACCGCCTTCGCGACCGCCCGGCCGATGTCGGCGCACACGTACCGCTGCAGCGCCGCCCGCACGCTGCCGCCCCGGCCCGCCGCGGCGTAGGCGCGCGTCAGGGCGCTGCTGGCCCTCTGGGCCTCCTCGGAGCACTCGGGGCCGTCGGCGTGCAGCGGCCCCCAGCGCAGGAGCTCGGGCACGTCGCCGTACCGCTCGAGCAGGTGCGCCAGCAGGGCCCGGAGCCCCTCCGCGCCAGGCCGCGGCTGCCACGCCGCGGGCGGGCGCACCCACGACTCCCGCGGCACCCACGCCGCGATGCGCGCCAGCGCCAGCGGCACCGAGGGGCCGCCCGGGCCCCGCGGGGAGGCGCCGAGCAGCCCGGGGCTGCGGGCCGCGCAGGCGCCCAGCAGCTCGCCGAGCGCGGCGGCGGCGGCGCTGGGCTCCGCGGCGGGGAGGCCCGACTGCAGGGAGAGGCACCCGTCCAGCCGTCTGGCCGCGGAGTCGAAGACGCTCTGAGGCACCCCCGCGGGCGCGCGGCCCCCGCCGACGCCCTTCGCCGGCCGCGGGCCGGGGGCGGGCTGCCGCCTCTTCGCGTGTGGCGACCGTCGGAATATGAAGAGGAGCTGCACCAGGTTCTGGACGACGAAGAAATCCGCCGCCGCGCCGCAGGCGCCAGGCACCGAGTGGCGTGTCCGCAGGTCCCCTCAGAGTGTTCTGGTGCTGCTTGGAGTGCCCTGCAGAGCTCTCTGCACTGCGCTGACTGCTGTCAGTGCCATCGGGCGACCACGCGGCCCACGAGAGGCTCCTAGGGGGCCCCCGGTGCCACCAAAGGGGCCCCATGAGGCTTCCGAGGGGGCCCTGTGTCCACGACCCAAGCGTCAGAGGCGGGGGTGGGTCGCAATCTCGATGCGCCACGTGCTCCACGTGCGCCCTGTGTGCTGCATGGTCCAGCCGCGCCAGGTGCGCCACGTCTGGGGCACGCGCAGAGTGTGCCAGGTGCGCCCGCGCACGCGACAGCACACGTCGGGAAGCATGTCGGCCCCCACAATCTTTCTCGAAAGCCGGTGCACACTTCCGGCAGGGACGCCATCGTGGTGTCTGGTGGGCCTGCCCACAGCAGGCACTCTGCTGGCTTTCCCGCGGCGGTTTTCAAACACCAGTGGACGATGATCGCGGGGTGGCCGCGCATGATTCAGATTTAGCAGCGAAGTCTATGATGTTGTCTTGTCTTTTGACATGGGTGGTTGCCTTGCGCAAGGCAGGCAATATGAGGGGCACCCCCAGCGTGCGGCCAAAAAACAATACAAAGTGCTCGCGGGGCCCACGAGCATGACCCAAGATTTTTTGCCCCAAAGTGTGCATCGTATGGTTTGTTTGACAAGGAAGGGGGGTGGGTTGTTGGCATCGTCCCCTGGGGGAGGGGGTGTTTAATACTAGGGCACAAGTATAAACCCTTCCCCGATGGGGAAGACCGGGGGGTGGAAGACAAAACGCTCCAGACCACTCACGCCCTAAAGGGCTGGTGGGATTCGGAACGGCATCACCCTTGTGCAGGCTGGCTATCCATAGACGACCGCTGAACATGTTGAGGCCCGGGTGGCACTTATGTGTTGGGAAGGCTGGTGGGAAAGATCGAGACACCTTGCGGGCGGAGAGGGGGTTCCGCGAGGCGTTGGAGCGTCCAAGATAGCCTCGGCGAGAAGGCCAACTTCATTGATTTTACTGTGGAATTGGGCCCATTCTGGCCTCCTGGGGGAGACTCTACTTGACTACCCCTCCTCCTTTGACCGATCTCCTCCAAGATGGCCCCAATATGTCCTCCGACGCAAGATGGTCCCAAGAGGCACCCAGGAGGCCCCAAGAGGCCCCAGGATGCCTCCAAGATGCCCCAAGAGTCCCCTAAGAGACCTCCAAGAAGACCCCCCCCGAGGCACCCAAGACGCTTCAAGAGGCCCCCCGGGCTGCCAAGAGGCTCCCCGAACGCTCTAACAGGCCTACAGTAAGCTCTCGAGAGACATCCAAAGAGACTCCGAGAAGCATCCAACAGGCTTCTGGCCTTCCTGTTCGCTCTCCTCCTCCTCATCCTCATCCTCATCCTCCTAATCCTTCTCCTCCCTCCCCCACCCCTTCTCATCCTCCTTTTCCTCCTCCTCCTCCTCCTCCTCCTCCTCCTCCTTATCGAGCCTCTGGCTCCTCCTATATCCTCCCCCTCTTGGGATACGACGGCTTCCCGCCTTTCTTCCACTGCGTGCTCCGCCACATGCCTGATCAGGGCAACTCGCATGGGCCTCGTTTCTGGCTGGGCTGGCAAAGTTACTTTTTTGATCTGCAGGGCAAAAGCGAACCTCTTCCGCTGAAAGCTAAGCGGGACGCGCACAACTTTAATTGGCAGAGAACGGGCGGAAGAAGGCGGGGCCTCACGCGGCCGGGAGAGGGCGAAGCCCAGGGATCAGGCGGTGCCGAAGTTGACGTGCAGGAAAAGGTGCACCTTGGACAGGAGCCCGGTGGCGAAGCCCTGCTGGCAAAGCTACGCGAAACGTCTAGAATTAAACCAATCGGATTTTGAAGACATCTCAAGTGGCCATCGGCGCAAACCGCCGGCCTCCCGAAGGCTCAATGAAATATATATATATATATATATATATATATATCCCGTCGGATTTTCCGCGCAAGATGGCCAGACATATGTTCCGAGACGGCGACTGCACCAAGATGGTCTCCACCACGGCTCCAACTATGCTCCCCAGACGGCCTAGATGGCTAGAAGACCACCCAAGATGGCATCAAACCAGCACAAGATGGCTCATATAGGCCCTCCTGAAGGGGAGGCTGCCCTTTCGGGCTTCCGACTGCACAAGAATGCCCTCGAAACCCGAAGAAGCCTCCAAGATGATCAGCCCCCAAACGGCCCGAGAAGCCCCCAAGAGGGTCCCAAGACGGGCCAAGAGGGCCCGACGGCTGCCAAAGACGCCCCCAAGTCTGCCCCACGGCGGCCAACGAGACCTCCAGGACGGCCCTGAAGCGCCCCGAGAGGGGCACGGTACGGTCCAGAGCGGCCCCCGAGACAGCCTTTCTAAGGCCCCCAGGAGGCCCCAAGAGGCCTCCTCCTCCTCCTCCTCCTTCTCCTCCTCCTCCTCCTCCTGGTCCGTCATTCTCCTCTCTCTCCTCCACCTTTCTCTCCCCCCCTCTTCCTCCCCCCAGTGTTCCCCCAAGGGTCCCAACAACGGCCGGGGGAACACACCAGTCCAGCAGCCTGGCCAGGCTGTGGTCCCTCGTTGGACCACAGCATTAATTCGGGCCTGTCCACCTACAGGGGGATGTTCGACGAGAAGTAAAAAATACCCAAACAAAAACAAAAAATAATAAAAAAGAGTCTGGGGACTATTTTTTGAATATTTGTTTGCCTTTTGGGGGTATATTGTTGGTTTTTTTTACATGTTTCGTCAAACATCCCCCTGTAGGGGGACACGCCCGACATGGCCACAGCATGCATGTCCAGAAGAGGGCACGGGGGCGGCCCCAGCACGCCGAAGGCGTCTCCGCTACACTGCGGCGGCCGCCGCCGCGCGCAGCCAAGGGTCTCAACAACGGCTGGGGGGACACATCAGTCCAACAGCCTCGCCAGGCTGTGGTCCCTCGTTGGACCACAGCAGGCATGTCCAAAAGAGGGCACGGGGGCGGCCCCGGCACGCCGCAGGCGTCCCCGCTACGCCGCGGCGGCCGCCGCCGCGCGCAGCACGTCGGCGGCGAAGCCCAGGGCCGCGTCGGCGAGGGCCCCGCGCGCCACGGCCCCGCGGCCTCACGGGTCGCGCGCGACTGTGAGCGGCGGGAGGGCACGGGCCTCACGCACGATGGGGGCAAAGGCGGGTTATTGCGCACAGGACGCGCGACAGGACACAAGACTCTTCCGACGGCAACATGGCCTCCAAAACCACAGGACACAAGGGTACCCTACCCTTCGGGCGCAGAGGACACGACGCGCGATGCACAGGACACAAGAGCACCCTTGATTTCGCAGGGCCGACCTACTAATGGAACCCGACTGCAGCGACGCTCACGCGGGTCGCCATCGCGGCACGCTGCTCTGGAGACGAGGGCGCTCCCGCGCCATCTGACACTGCAGGGGCCCTGGGACACCCAAACAAATACAGACAAACAAGAGACTTCCCCATAGTTCCCCACATTTTCGGGGTGTTTGTCTTCCCCCCCAACTTCCCATAGTTTCCCATGATTTCTGGGGGATCGACGATGAATCGTGCCTGTGTGTTTCTTTCCCTCCTGATGCACGCGAGCGTCCGCGCGGTCGACCTCCCTTTCCTCCCGTCGCTCAGAAACGGGGCCAGGAGGAGCTGGTGGGGGGCCGCAGGGCAGCAGCGCGCCGACGATCTGGCGTCGGCCGTCGGCGAGGCATCGGCGACTTCGGGATGGAGAGGCTCGGGCTCCGGATCCTGCCTTGCCGCCGACGCGGTGCCGTCCTCCGACCCAGAGTTCCCGGACTCCAATCTTCAGGAGGGAAAGAAACACACACACACACACAAGTAATCGGCGATTCCCCAGAAAATATCGGAAAATATGGGAAGTGGGGGGAACACAAAAACCCAGAAAATATGGGAAAATATCGGGAATCTTTTATTTGTGTGCATTTATTTGTGTGTCCCAGGGCCCCTTCGAATCTGCGGGCCCCCCCAGAAGTTCCGAGCCCCTGCGTCCCAAGGGCCAGCCTTTGTCGGTTTTGTCGGTGGTCCCGGGGGGGGGGGGCAGCGAGGGCCCCTGCGGAGGCCAGAAGCGCTGCAAACAAGACCCTGCACCGAATCTTGCCAGAAGTGGATGCCTGGGTTTGCCGCGCCGTCCGTCGTCGTCGTCGTCGTCGTCGTCGTCGTCGCCGCCGTCGTCGTCGTCGTCGTCGTCGTCGTCGCCGCCGCCGCCGCCGCCGTCGTCGTCGTCGTCGTCGTCGTCGTCGTCGTCGTCGTCGTCGTCGTCGTCGTCGTCGTCGTCGTCGTCGTCGTCGTCGTCGTCGTCGTCG